ATAACCTCAAACTACTGAACATAGAATAAAATGTTTGGCTGACGTGAAAGCACTCCCATGCTCATGGCCATGCACTCATTATAAATGACAATAGTCTTCCACAAGGCTAAGCAGACGTATTGCTAAAGCTACCGAGTTAGTCACACAATGGCAGAGAAAGTGCATGTTGCACTGCTAAACAAATCAAGAAAAGAAAGACAGAAGTAGTGAAGGCTATGACCAAAAAGATTTTGTTTAATGAAGCAAAAACTCAAACCAGAGTTACATTTTGAAAATCACGTTACCAATATCACTATTACTAAATATATCAAAAGTATTTATATCTCAAACTGACTCTTAAAAACTGGTTCATGAATTTATCTCAAGCAGATTAGACTACTGCACCTCTTTATTGGCAGAAATCCTAACAATCAGTTATTAATCATCAACATATATAAAGATGTACTGCATTTTCTTTCGGTTTTAAAGGTTAATTGTTTCATGTTACTTACTCCATTGCCGTGGTGAAGCCTGGTAGAAAGGGCTCCACACAGTGAGGATGAAACAGGTGTTGGTGTCTGCTGTAGAGAAGAAGTGCAAGAAAACATTCACTAAACTTTTTCTATTATTATTATATTTCTATTATAATTTTCTATTATTAAAATTCTTCTGCAATCAGTGGTGATTTGTTAATCATTAATATCAGTTATGTCAAGCGAATCTTTCTCCTGTATTAAACTTCATATGGAGTGTAAAATCTAAACATTTGAAAGTATTTCCTCATTTACCTGTGTTGATGGCTCATTTACCTGTGCAATGTTGAACTGGTAGGAGGAGCAGCAAGCACTCAGTGTTCAGAGTTTTTATATTCCATCTGCATGGGGGAGGGACACGCTGTGTTCATGTGATTTCCCAGAATGAATGGAATGGAATCGCTTCTCCCTCCTACCAGGATTTCATACTTCCTGTTTTCCTTTTGTAATTCTCCTACCTGAACTGCACAATGGACACCATAATATACATGATTATACAGATTTTTCAGATGAACCACGCCCCTTGGCTGTGATATAATCACAACATATCACTGCCTGAAGTGAGCTACTGCTTTTATAAAACGGTTACCAAGTATGGCAATATGAAAAAGTTAATTTAAACCATTTTATTAACCATTCAATTCTTGATATATGAATTGTATTATTTTATTATTATTGATGATTCTTGCAGGTATATGCTGTATACCCACTAAGAAAGCTCCAGGATTTCCGTATACCCACTTAAAAGTCCAGCGTGCAGGATTTAGTGGCATCTAGCAGTGAAGTTGCGGATTGCAGCTTGTGTTTGACGACCTGTGAATAAGAACGAGCTGTGAAGTGTGTAGGTAAAACCATGGTGGCCTTAAAACTCAAAAGGTCTTGTCACTGTTTGGTTTTTCCGTTCTGAGCTACTGTAGAAACAGGGCGGTTCAACAGGGACTCCATGGAAGGTGACCCGTGGTATCTAGATAAAGACAGCTGCATGCATTCAGCAGGGCAGGGCTATTATCTGAGGACCACCAGAGGGAGACAATCAGCTTTTCAGAAATAAATGGAAGAAAAAAAAGAGTGAAAGAAACAAAAAGGATAATTATGTAAACTTTATTTATTATTATTAAACAAATGCTGAAAGAAACATTTCAATTTTCTTAATTGGGACATAAAGAGATGTATGTATAATTTATTTCCACATTTCTATGTATTTATCTATGTATATATTTTGTGTCTATGCTAATGAGATGGTACATACCTAACTGACAGTCTAAAGTACATACATAAACAGTGGTGGGAAGTACTTTCTAGATTCATTATACAAAATAAAATCAACAAATAAATGATGTGTTATTATAGTTTAAGAAAAGTTCCCAAACAGATAGTAATTCAAATTAGCTCCACCTTCAGCTACTGCTTTAAAGTGAGCAACACATTAATGCGTCAATAATTAATCCAATAATGTGATACATATTGTTCTGAAATTAGACATTCTGCATTATGAGTACTTTTACTTTTGCCATGAGTATATTTCGATGCTCATATTTTGTTCTTTTAATGAAGTAAAATTTTAGAGTGCATTGTAGTAATGTAAGTTTTATTTAGTTGTTTAGTAGTTAAACATCATGGTACTTTTTCCATCACTGTACATGAATAAATAACTAGAAATAAAGATACAACTATGAATATGTGTAGATTTGATGGTAAAAACATTTATTTATTTATGCATTTAATCACTCATTTATTTATTAGTTTCTGTTTGTATGGTGTTTTTCATTATTGTTTCATTTTATTAAAACATTTATTTGCATTTGTATTTACTACAGCATTTATTAGTATATATACATATCTATAGTTATGGCATTTGTCACTTTTTTGTCCTCCATATGCATTATTAGTATTTCCACCTGGAGCCCTTTGCTGCATGCTGTTCCCCCTTTCCTTTTCAATTAAAGGCATAAAAAGCCCCCTAAAAAAATCTTTATTTAACTATGCACTGAATCACTTGTCAATTAGCGTCCATTGTTTTCTCTCATGTATGTAAATATAACATTTTTCATTTACTTTTGTGTTTACTTCAGTATGTATGTACGTATGTATCCATTTGTCATTTTTCGTCCTCCATACACATTCTCTACCATGCAGTGTGTTCTCAGTAAAACATTCAGACTAGGCTCGTATAATTGTTCTTCTTTAGTTCCCATTATTTCCGGCGTTTCCCACCGACCCTTCCGCACTGGTTTAGCTCAGTGGTTACTTCGCTCACATTTCTCTGTGTAGAAAAGCTGATCTCCATCCCTCCGTGGGATCGAACCACGGGCGCTGTCCAGTGTTTTAGTTATAACTGCTCCCCATGTCTTCTCTATATGATTTAGCCTAATTCACCTCCATGAAGTGCTCCATACTGACCAAATGTAAGCAAGTGTCTGAAAACCCCCAAATCTTTAAATGAAAGCTTTTCCACTGGCTGCTGTGAAATGACTATTGGATGGATGAAACGCATTCAGCAGGGCAGGGCTATTATCAGAGGTCCACCAGAGGGAGACAATCAGCTTTTCAGAAATAACTGGCCGAAAAAATAGAGTGAAAGAAACAAATAAAAAGATAATTGTGTACACAAATGCTTAAACAAATGCTGAAATAAACATTTAAATGAATTTCCTTGATTGGGATATATATATATATTTATTTATTTCCAGATGTCTATGTATTTATTTCTGTATTTCTACATTTCTGCTTTTGGTTATTTCTGTGTCCATGCTAATGAGTTCTCAGTAAAACATTCAGACTGGGCTGGTATAATTGTTCCTTCCCATTATTCCCGGCAGAAACAAAACAAGTCAGGTATACAAGGCCCGTTTCCCACTGATCCTTCCGCACTGGTTTAGCTCAGTGGTTACTTCGCTCACATTTCTCTCTGTAGAAAAGCTGATCTCCTCCCTCCGTGGGATCGAACCACGGGCGCTGTCCAGTGTTTTTCTCTCCCTCTTATTACCAAACTGTTCCACAATAGTAACTGTATGTCTTACTTACAATCAAAATACCAAATTTAACAGTATGATGTTCAAAATGGTAAATGCCTTTAGGAGCATTACAACAAGCCAGAGGAAATTCATTTTTTCACAGATTATCTGTCTCATGTACTACTGTCACTTATTGTTCTAAAAATTAGGTAAATTAGTGTATAAACATAAATGACTGCATCAGTGTCACTCTCAGGCTCACCTTTATAAGGCCAGTTTCGCAGTGATTCCTGCGCACTGGTTTAGCTCAGTGGTTACTTCGCTCTTCTGATCTATCAGATTTACGGTTCTCTCCCTCCGCGGGTTCGAACCACGGGCGCTGTCCAGTGTTTTCTCTCCGTGTAGTCTCACCTGCTGTTAAACACTCTCATAAGTTTAATTACTTTGAGTAAAGCTGTCGGATTTGGTGAATGAAAGTGTACAATCTTTAATTCCTTAGTTCAGAGCAGCAGAGTCTCACACAGTGTCACTGCCGCCTACCACCGTCAGACAGCCCGCTGGTACTCTGCTCCACAGCGACCCCTCCCGGCTGTCATGTACCTGACTTCATTTTACTGGCGTCAAGCTAGCAACATTGAGGGCTTCCGGTTGTGACTTTTGTATCAAATAACGTATTTTGGTATTTTCACACGACAAGAAACTCATATAGGAAGTGGTTCAACGTATTTAACAGACGGGGTTTCATAATAATGTAGTCTCATTTACTTTACATATACCATACAATATGCGGCAGTTTATTAGGGCGCACAAACTAATCTATGGGGTCATTTTATAGTGCTGCCAACAACAGTATCTACTTGCTTTAAGTATGGGAATCCTGTCTCCTCTGTTCTTGTAAATTATAGCCTTGCTAACAATTTTCAATCTCCGAAATTCTAACATTCACCTCACATAATTTCAGCTGTCAACTATCAGCTGTGAGCCAGTATTTCAGAGAGACAACGTCAACATCTCCGCTGAAAATGTGGCAGTATCAACCACAGATCGTGGGTCGGATATTCAGATTTCTGAGTTAAGTCAAATTCATACTCAAGAGTTCTCGACTGATCTGGAACCAGTAAATTAGTTTCCTGTTGCGCATGCGTATAGCCGATACCGACGCTGGTCTGTTGACAAATATCGGGGGAGGGACCACTGCGGCGTAAGTAGATCTTTGTTCAGACTGGACTATATTCAACATAATGTAGCACTGTGTGCATAATGTAGCCCGTTGAATATCATTTTACACTGTATGTATCTGCTCTCGCGGACACTGTCGCCACAAAGCCGGCGGAAAGGAAAGTGCTTTGTTAAACATCTGTAAAAACCGCTGGGGCCGAGTGGTAGCAGAAAGGTAGGATCCCTGTACAGCTAGCCGCAATGACACATACGGTTTCCGGTGCGAATCCCCAAAACAAAATACCTGTTTACATGCTTTTTAAAACTTCTGAGTAAAAGGGCATACAAGCTTAATACAGACCACATGTAGGGATTACTCTGAAGTAAATGCTCCTGTCATACTTCTTTTCATCGCACATAGGGACGACGACGCATTTCTTTGTTTACTATGCTCCAAGTTAATGCTTTAATTTTGAAGGCACAGACGGACAGTTTCCGTTATCACCCATGGTAACGTTCGCTCTGACTCAGCTCGTACAGCCTCACGGCTAGCTACCAACAACCCGTTTCTAACATCGTTCCATGTTCAATCTCATGCTTTTGGGTCTTTGTCGTTTATAGTCGTGTCGATAATCCATATTGTGTCGTTTCGAGCAAAGTTCCTCCCGCCTTCCGGTCAAACTTATGAACTTGTTTCACAGTCTGGCTGTGGGAGCGAGTGAAGGCGGTCTCCTCGTCCAAGACTGTCTGCAGAAATGAAGAGGTGAGTGGGACGTTTAACATGCGCCATTGTCAACTAATAACAGCAAAACTACGTTTGTAGACTATAGCTACCAGTCTACCGACTAGCTAGTAGTTTATTAAATAATTCCCTAATTTAACCATAACGTGAATCCTCTCTTGTATTTCCATATGTGCAGCCAACAGAAAAGCCCTGAACCAGATGGGAGTGTTACCGTCAACGAGGAAGGTAAAAGAAAATGAGTCTGTTTCTATACGTTAACTTGTTAAATGGATGTGACTGTCTCTATGAAAATGTTTTTATTAGTTATTAAAAATGTAGGTTATCAAGGGAATGTTCTGATACTTTTATGTGCTTTCATAAGTCAAACACCCCAGTTTCAGACACTGTCTGTGAATGGGGCTGTGTACTGGCAAGAATATGACGATACGATATGCGAATCGTGATACACATCACGATGCAGGGTTACAATTCAGTTTATTGCAATATATTGCAACGCCGTAAACGAGCTGTTATTTAGCATTATATATTTTTTTCTTTGAATCAAATTTTTGAAAAACTGTCAGTGTAAATAAGAGACCACCATCTGTATAAACCCTGAGTTTAAATAAGTTCACTTTTTTATGCAACCAGAACAGTGGGATTCACATTTGTATATAATATATATCAATATCACAAAGCAAAATATCGTGATACAATATTTTTCAATGTTTTCTTACACGCCTATCTTCGAACGTTTAAAACTCGTTCATTTCTGGGGGTTCCGGCTTTTTCTGCTCTTATGTCTCTGAATTGTCTCAGCCCAATTCAGTAACACTTTAAAGCCACTGTGGGTGCCTGTACTTCAACATTTTAACCAGGAATACGTGCTTAGCCCTCTTTTCAGGTCCTCTCCTACACAAGGAGTACGCATGCTTGTGTGATTATACCTGAAGCACTGATAATATGAGTTTAAGGCGTCCTAAAGTTGCTCTTTCCTGAAGCTATTTTTTTGACAACTCTAACATTTTTCCCAGGGTCCGTAGCTACGGCAGAGGACCCGGCGGCCATTGCAACCATTCAGTCTGCTGCCACCTTCACCGACCAGCCCATCAAGTATCTCTTCAAGACAGAAGGAGCAGGTGGGCAGGTAGGAAGGACATTTGCACAGCATTTTAGTTAACATGTGAGGTCTTATTTTAGATGTGGTGGGGTGTTCTTTGACTGTTATTTCCACCAGTGACATGTCCACTGTGATATATTATACATAACCGCACATTCATGCAAGACTGCAGAGGGAATTTAATTCTGAGATGCTACACACTGACAGCAATGAGACAGACCTCAGCACGACAACAAAATTAAAATAGATTTTATATTAATATAATAGTATCGGAACTGCAAAGTAAGGATAAAGCACAATGGGGTGCATTTTAATGTTAGTTGGGTTAAAGCAAATTTAAGTAGCTCCCCAATTGTCCCTGTAGACACCCACTCTCTTTACCTTGGAGCTCATGTGATTGACGACCGTAGCCAAAAGAGGCCCCCTGCCTGCTCCAACCCATCGCCATTTAAAAAAACCAACAACAGACAAACAGAAAGTAGGGGCCAAAAGGAGCTCCTTTGATTGGCCAGTCGTCACAAGTTCCCCCCCTCAGGCTGTCCTTGTTGATCAGGTTCTCAGAACACTTCTGCTACAACCATAGCAACCGAGTTTGTCATCTGTGAGCAGAAAATAGCATTTGAGACAGATTGTAATGGAAATTCAGGGAGTTGAGTTTGTGCTTTAAAGTTTTGAGCGAAAAACGCATGGCAGGTTTTCTGCTGTCTTTGAGTACATGCAAACTGATTTTATCTTAACATTTCTTGATAATTGTGCCAGTGTGCCAGTCGCATTACCTCCGGGTCTCAACACTCATGACCCACTTCACTTAATAGAGACCTAAAAGTAGAATTTACAGTCTGTACCATCTACAGTTGTGTACACGTCACCTCAGTAATGATGAAATATTGACCACTCGGTGTAATGTGTTGTGTCCCAGGTGACGTACCGAGTGATCCAGGTGTCAGATGGCCAGCTGGAGGGCCAGACAGACGGAGCCGCGGCGGTCAGCCTGGTCGCTGGGTTCCCTGCAACAACTCAAACTGTCACACAGGTGAGGACAACACTGGCTAACAGTATGAGCATGTAACTAGTATTACTATGACTTCTTTTCTGTAATTAGTCACTATGCTGCGTTAAGTTCCAACTCGCAGGTACTCACATCTGCTGATCCTGATGTTCTTTCTGTCGTGGCTCGCTTTCAAACACATTCATAATATTACAAATTAAATCAAATCAAAAATGAGCAAAATTGAAATACAATATCTGTCTCTATAAACACTTCTTTTTTTATATTCGTTTCTTTAGATTTGAATTTCTTTTGTGGAGGTTGCTTGCTGTTGAGAACTGTTACTTGACGGCATCTTCCAGCTACGGTCTGCATTTATTTGGATGAACTGGCCATTTGCTCCTATATTCCTTTTGCCAACCTTTCACCTACAGGCAGGGGTGGCATGGGGTGGCAAATGCTGTCAAATTTAACACATTATTTTAGATTAATTTAAAAAAATAGTGCGTTAAAAATGATTAAGTTCAATAAACAAAGACATCTATGTGGAAAAATGTCTTTGATATGGAAATGAAACTACTCATTGATTTCCAATGCCACCTTTACATATTTCTATTTATTGCTTTACTAATGTACCACAGTAATGTTTTAGATTTTTTTATATGATTGTTTGTAATTAAATCAATCATATGTTTCTGTCACCCTTTGAAGTTTTCTCCCTCTAGCCACACCATGAATATTTTTTTAGATCCACCCCCACCAATAGTTGGCATTTCTTACCTAATAACAAACAAAACTGCACTAACCTTTTACAGACAGGTTTTTAGTTTATATAAATCCACCCCAGTAAATTATATGCAACTGTACTTGTAATGTTTTGCTTTTTCAAATAAATAAATAAAAAAAATAGAAATAAAAAATCCACCCCAAAACAATTAAGCCGATCTTAAAGATCCCGGCATATTTTAATGGATTGCTATCAACCAGAATAAAGCAGATTAAATCCAATCCCTTCTTTACTGTACTCTACTGTGTTCTGTGTTCTCAGCCTGCTAAAGCTGCAGCGCTGCTGCTTCTTTATCACAGATGGGCTCAACCGTGCAAGAATTTCACCGCATGTGCAAGTGAAAATCAGAATGTGCGAATATGAAAAAGTATTTGGGAGCTCCAGTGAGCTGGCAAAAGCATCAGAGTGTAGCAAAATGTGCTACACTTGCAACCTGCAGAGACCCTGTCTGCGGCTGCTATCTGTACTCAGCAGGAGACGAGAGAGGAAGCCGCACCCTGGAACACCACTGTGCAGCTGCAAGTGGACTTGAGCTTTTGTAGTTCTCAGAACAAGTTTCGGGGGGGTTCATCTGTTCTGTTTTCCTTGAAAATATAAAACAAGGACATATTTGATATCTGTGTATACTGTATTTGTACTTACATATCCAAGAAAAATACTTAAAAGATCAAAAGTAGTGTAGAAGACGTAGCTACAGCTGTTAGTTCAATGTGTCAGATGCATATTTAATCAACATTTAAGAAAATGTAAGTATCAGATCTGACTCCGGATCAGCAGATACCCAATATTAAAGGATCTGGGATCTGGGCCAAACATACACTAGTCTTCTCCTGTGTTCCTGGAAAAATAATGACTCCCTTATTATAGATGAAAATGAGGCGACAGGTCGAGCAGGTTCAGTTTCCCCCTGTCATCACTACTTGCTAATGGTAACCAGTAGGTGTTACAAGTCATTGATTAACTGATCTCTGCCTCTGATCCAGAACAAACCACTGATATTTTCTATTACTCAGCTGCTCAAAGTGTAGTAACTGTAATACCTGCTTCTAACGGGGGCTACACACTTAACCCTTTACCTTCCCACAGGTGCACATTCTGTTACATTTTTAAATGTACAAATAGTGATGATGTTTGGTGTATGTTGTGCTTTTAGTTTTTGTTTGTTTCATGCTCAGTTTCTGTATATAGTAGAAGCTCAAATAATTCAGTGGACCTATTGCCACCATTTATATAAATGCATGGTTGCAAGATAAAACTTCTAATTTATGGATTTAGATAAACCGTTCAAGTTGCAAACATTACTTGTTGTTGTGTTGACATAAATTACGTGGAAAAACTAGTTGGAACAAGTTAATTTTTTTTATGAGTAGTCTAACTGAGTATGTAAGTGGTATTTAAAAATACCTGTCCTATACAGTATTATACTTACTTAAAGTTCTTTATGTGTACTCTTTACTATACTAATGCCTCTTTGCTGTCAGGCTGTGTTCTCCCAGTCCGAGGGGTTGGAGGGAGACAGCAGCACAGAGACGCAGTACACCTACTACCCCGCCACCATCGCAGACGCCACCACTGGCACCATGGTGACCACAGTGCAGGCCTCTGATACACTGCTGGGCCAGACCACACCCACAGGTAATCACTGCCCTATATAAGGCCTAAAATACAGTATTTTCATTTGGCACTGGCTTTGTAAAATCTAAATAACAATAGTGACCATGATCTTAAAATAAACTGGATTATAATGAATACAATTTAAATGAATGAAATGCAACTTTTTAAACCATTTTCAGACCATCTTTTCTTTTTAAGTTGTCTGTCATTTAAAGGCTTTGCAATTCTAAGATCGCCTATGTCTGCTTTTACTTATCCTCAGCAGCTGACAGTAAGGTTTTGTCTCACAGGGCAGCTCTATGTGATGATGTCACCCCAGGAAGTTCTGACGGGTTCCAATCAAAGGACAATCGCACCTCGCACTCAGCCATACATAGCGTAAGTACATCCAAATCAAAGCACTGTTGCATCCAATCAAAAGTAATCTTCTACACCCAGCAAGTCGAGCCAACGTAATGTCTTTATCCTAATCTGTTTCCAGAAAGCAAGAGGCTCCTCGCGCTTCCAGAGATGAGAAACGGCGAGCGCAGCACAATGAAGGTCAGTGCTCACATCCAGTGTGAGAAGCTGAAGACTTCAGCTGTTAACTACAACAGGCTGGCATAAAAATCTAATAATCGTAATTTTATAGGTCTTTAAAATCTATTGGGATTAAAGAAGTAAACGTTACCTATCACTTTTAAATGTCTATTTGGAAACATATTGTATTGACCCTGCTGTAACAGCTACAAAATGAAACCATGTAACTGATTTTCCTTCATATCCGTTTGTGCTTTTTTTTTTTACCAGTATGTTCATTTTCATTCATACTGGTCTTAAAAAGAAACCCTGTTCAAATATTACAGCAGGTATGAATGATAGAGTAATGTCTGAAATTCTGATTTTGTTCCAACAGTTGAGCGCAGACGCAGGGACAAGATCAACAACTGGATTGTGCAGCTGTCAAAGGCCATCCCAGACTGTAACATCGACTACACCAAGACAGGACAGGTGAGTTCAGCTCACACCTCACTCTGGTTTTCATACTACAAAGATGATAAATGTAGTGAAAGTACTCTTCAGATGTCGTATTCCCAATAGGGCAAACTTTAGTTACATTAGAAAAGATTGAGAAAGAAAAGCCAAGGCAATTTCTCATTATTATTTTTTTTCTTCTGAAAAGTCCTCTTCTTCTCTTTTGTTTCAGAGTAAAGGAGGAATCTTGTCCAAAGCCTGCGAGTACATCAAGGAACTCCGACAGAGCAACCTGAAGCTGGGAGAAGATATCAGCACTCTCGACCGTCTCAGGATTGACAACCAGCTACTCAGACAAGAGGTATAACGGCACATGTTTGCCTTTTCTGTATCATTATTTCCACTGAACAAGATTTGAAATGTCAACCATTTAGATCATTCTAGGAAATGGCAACGGTGTGGTGTTTTCTCCAGAATTGTGTTCTATAAACTAATCCGCCTGCTGATGTATGCCTTCTGCTCTCAGGCTGTCAGCACAGTTCAACTGAACACGTGCTCTGACAGTGGAAAGGAGGATGTTAGACAGTCTGTGAAATGTGAAGGTTATTTCTTCTTTAAACAAAATGGGTTATAACCAGTGATGGCTGGTGGTGATTTGGGGTTTGTGGGCTAACAGATGCATTACACTTATCAATATGTCACACAGCAGCAACAGTAGCATCACACATCAAGTTACAGTAAACAACATTGTATACTTTGTTATAGCAAGTTGCTCTACCAGCCACCACACTGGGGGAGACCGTACCCAAAAACCATGGCCTGATGGCAAAACATCTCTCTCTCTCTCTCTCCTCTCTCTCCTTCTCTCTCTCCTCTCTCTTCCTCTCTCTCTTCTCTCTTTTCTCTTCCTCTTCTCTCTCTCTTTCTCCTCTGTACACATGCAGCAACATTGCCAATTGTGGCTACAACAACAATTAAGAAAAGCCAGCAAACAATTTGCCAAACACCATGTTACCAAAAATAAAAAGAAATATAAAAAAATATAACTATTTGTAGAAGAGTGGGAGTGTTTCAGAGTTTCAGAGCGACGGTTAGGCCAGGCAACTCCACACAGGCTGCCGCCACATCACCATCAGCTTCACCTTCAGGTTTCTCCCTGCAGATCATTGGTAAGTA